TGGAACTGATCAAGGCCTGTTGGGGTGGTGTCAGGGATCAAGTCTGCCAGGGTTTTTAGAGTGCCATTGTCACACTATTGGCGCATATATACCCAGTCCGTCTGTGGGTAGTTCCACATGTCCGCTGGCGTCAGTCCACCCCCTATATCTGGGTTATAGACTATGGGTGTGAGTGGTCAGCTGCTGCGGATAGCGGAGTGAACACCACGACTTAAGGGTGGCATCTATCAGGGGGTTACCAGTGTTGAGTGCGGTGAGTGGCACTCCGCCCTCCACAACATCGAGGGTATCTGCCCACCGGCTTGTGTGATCTCTGCCTACACCCAGAGATCTCTGTCGGTCGGCCGTGCCAGTCAGTAACCCTCAGCTGATGGGTTGCTCGGTAGTAGCCTATGATTGAGGGTAGCCCAGCTCCCCCTGCTGCTTGGGTTGTTCGAGTTGTTGTTTGCTATCCCGTGGAGCTCCCTTCTTCCATACAAATTTCCGTGTAGCTGTGGTGATGGATTGGAAAAACACTTTTGGAAGAGTGATCGGTATCGTCTGGAAGAGGTGTAGGAGGCGCAGGAGGATGTTCATTTTGATCGCGTTAATACGCACGAACCATGAGATGTAGAGGTTTGTCCATTTTTGCATGTCCGACTGCAGGGATGTAAGGATGGGGAGAAAGTTTACCTGGTAAAGTTGTGACAGATCCCTTGTCAGCCAGATGCCAAGGTATTTCAGTTTGGCATCACACCTTTTAAACTGAAATTGGGATCGTAGATGTGTGTCTACTTGAGGGGATCGAGATGTTGATGAATTCCGACTTTTCCGCATTGAGCTTTAGGTTCGAGAACCTCCCATACCTACGGAAGAGGTCCAGAATGGTGGTCAGTGGCCTTTCAATGAAGAAAAGAAAGTCATCAGCATATGCCGCGACTCAGTGCTCAGTGGTCCCCAAGGTGTATCCAGCCATCCCACCCCCCATCTGTCCTGACCGCCTCCAGGAACGGCTCCAGCGAGAGGGCAAACAGCAGGGGAGAGAGGGGGCACCCCTGCCTCGTGCCATTCCGTATCAGGAGGAAATATTTTTACACACTTGTTTTGCCTGGGTATAATTGTAATAAGTTAATTATTGGACATTATTATTCTAACTCCACTCTAACTTGTTTTTTTGGACCCAATTGTTCATTATGTAACTGTGACTTCATTAATGGAACTTAATAGAGTCATAGTTACAAATATTATGGGATGTGTTTATATTATTTATATTATTTATATTAATTGCTTTTATAGTTATTTTTATTTTACATGCTTTATCTTATCTCCCTGAAATATGTGATGATCTATATTATCCTTTTTTTTATTTTTTTTATTTGTTTAGTCCCCTAATTGTCCTGTTTGGTGCTCCTGGTTCCATTGAAGCAGTTATAGTGCAGGAAGTCTTTGGGTGCTTTTTTCCCATTTCCCATAAACAGGGATCTTCTGCCATTCATATTCCAGTTGTTTTGCTGCCACTCTGATTAATGTTGAAATATCAGCTTTACAATCGTTTTTAGCAACAACAGACTGAGAGTGCTAGGCTAAACACCATAATCACCACAGTTCACTGCAGTAGTTATGGTAATATGAGTCTTTAAAATAGTTTTGGGATAGTATGATAAAACTGGACCTTTCCTGTAGCCACTATCACTGCAGTTGTAATATTATTGGCTATGAATGTAGGAGAGAGAGAGATCCCCATTTTTTGTTTGACAAGTCACATGACCCATAGATTTGCCGCAGCCATAATCGCTGTAGCAGTTAGGGGTGATTACAGTGCCCTGTTAATACTGCTGGTGTAACCTCCACAATAATAATCTGCGTTCAGAAAATACTTGGTGTGTTTTAAAACAAAGAACAGACATACAACTCCAGGGCTATGCTGGGACCATAACCATTACAACACGCTATAGTGGTCATCATGCTTATAGTGTCCTTTTAAATGTCCTAATTATTATTTATAATAAATCTAGTACTGTGTGAAACTCTGGGAATAGGCGAAGGAGGAAATAAATCTTTAATTTCTACTAGGCAAAACATGCATTAGACTACAGTAGAGGTATTAAAGAATAACACCCGGGGTAATCTGACTAAATTAAAAACAATGCTATATATAGTTGTAATTGTCTAGTAGACATGAGCAGACAGAACCACACGTTACGATAAATGCTATAATCACATAGATATTGCAGTCCAGGCTGTGTAATATTCACAATATCGGGCCGTTATTCCTCCTAGGTAAGTAAATAGCAATTTTAATAAAATGTGGCTCTTTAAAAGGGAGTAATAACAGCATAGTAGAGTGTTGGTGAATCCTTTGTACAAGAACGCTGAAAAAAAAACTTAGTTGTGTATTACACAAATTAAATTTTATCTTGATTTACATACAAATGACCACGATTATCACCACTTTGCCAGCTCTGGATTTCCCCCCAAGATAAACTGTAAAAATGGTGAGGCACGCGCAGTGCTTCCTATTGTGTGCAAAGGTCACATACCATGCATGCTGCATACATACAACAGTTGTGCGCATGCACTGAACACCCACACATTCATTTGAGTGAGACGAAAGGGAGACATTTGCTGGTGTACTATAGTATTAGTCTATTGGTACAAACGCCATATGCTCCCATTGACGCCTGTATTGGGGTATGCCATTTATTCCTTAGTGTATGTTTACTGCAGAGACCTTCAGAAGAACGAAATAGGAGGGAGAGCATGAAGGCAAAGTTTTCGAATAAATGTTTTTAGGACTTTTGCGCAGTTCTGTTCCTTTTGTCTGCAGCCTTATAATTGTATGCGTTTGCTTAATGATACGTTAAGCTTCTGTCATTGAATCGATTTTTACAAGTTATTTATATTGTGCAATACAGTTGTCTTATTTTATTTTTTACATTTATTTTTGTGCAGCTGAAAATAAATCGCCACCCCGGCCCTGTGGGTTGAATCACTCTGACTCTCTAAACCGAAGTGACCGAATAGATGCCGTAACACCAACACTTGGGAGCAGTAATAACCAGCTGAATGCCTCTTACTTACAAGTGTATATTCCCGATTACTCTGTAAGAGCCATAGCAGATCTGCAGTTTGTCAAGGTATCTTTTTACATCTTACACTTTGAACCATTTTACAGGCTCTGAGATTTACAACAGATCGAGGGATTGTTGTTGAACGTGGACCATTAAACCTCCTAGGGATCGGTCTTTGCCAATGTTACAGTACTTGCTATAAAAGATGAATGCTGACATCTGATGACACAAAATGAAGGTTAAATGCAATCAATAAGTCAAATGTTCAGTTAAAACAGGACACAAGCACAGCAAAATATTACCCACTTTGCCCAACTATGTTTTTGCATACGATCAAAATATTGTTATGGTGAACACATTAATGTTCATATTTTTACAGAATTTAGTATGGTGCTATTCTCGGTTATATACTACATCTTACTAACTGCTCATTCTGGTAGCGCGTGTATCTATCTACGCAAATGTGCACTGTTTTTTTGTTTCCCTTTTTTTGCTTGTATTTTTTTCCTCTTCTTACTGCTTTCTGTGCTCCCTGTCCTTTATTTGTACTCTCCTCCCCTTTAAAAAACCAAACAAACATATTCTTAATGTTGAGTAGTCCAATCCCTTCTATATTGCCTACATTGTGGCCAGGGGAGTTGGCATCATGACTTGTGGTTACTAGGTAGGTGAGGGAGTGCATTGGACGTACCTCCATCAAGCTGGGGCAGTTCTCACAAGTACAACTGGTTTATCCAAGCAAAGCATGCCATAAGTTATGATTTGAAATATTTCAGTGGCAATGAAGCATCAAACTGGGAGGATGGGTTAGAGAGGTCTTGTCCCATTGGGGCTCAAGCCACTCACTTTTAGTGATAACTAGTGAGCCTTTCAGAAGGTCTCCCCATCCTCTCTGGTGTTTAAGTATGGCCAGAAGGTACTGATAAAGAACCACTTGTAGTCGACGTTTGTGGGGCATGGCTGGTGACATTTCCCTCCTTACAGGGAGCAATTTGGTTGCCCCAACTGAGCATTCAATGTATGGAATTTTAGTGATGATTTAAGGACAACTCCAATTGATATCATTCAATTCTAAACAAATAGGCGTGACCTGGTGCGACCAGACCCACGCATCGCTGGAAAAAGGTGAGTTTAACATCATTTTAACCGGAGGTAAGGGATGGGCTGTGGGGCTAAAAAGCAATTTAGACCTGTAGTGTCAGGAATATACATTTTTATTCCTGACACTACAATTTTCATTCAATTCTGATTTTATTTAAATTTTTTTGTGCATCAGTTCTATCTCAGTTGTGGGGTAGAAATGAAATTGATGTCAGATATAATATATATACTCTGCAATATCAGTGCTTTAGATATTAGTACCCGAAGTACTTTAGACCTGACACTTTTTTTTCTTTCTTCTAAACTAGATAACAAGGCAGCAGTACCAAAACGCCCTCATGGCTTCACGAATGGACAAAACACCTCAATCTTCAGACAGTGAAAACACTAAGATTGATATGACTCTGACTGAGCTTCACGATGGTTTAGCGGATGAAACCGCAAACCTTTTAAATGAACAGAACTGTGTCACACACAACAAGTCCAATCACAGTATGCACAGTGAAGGGCCTATCTGATACCGAGCTCAGCCTATTGACTTGTGGGACATCCCTCACTACATTCTCAAGCTTCGCTCCTGGATTCCTATTTGTGCAACCGCAAACATCCTGAGCGCATGCTCATCATGCGCCACCCAGCATTCTGAGACCAAAGATTCTGAGCCCAGCGGCAGCAGGAACTAAAAACCGAGAGCCGGAGAGACGTGGAAAGGAAACCAATTGTAACACACTAAATAGGGATTAGTCAAGTGAGACCAAAACAAGGATCAAGTATCTCCTGTGATTACCTCCCATAATGCCCCAAAACCAATAACTGAGAATATTGCCCTCCTTTTCTCACAGGACATAGAGACATTCAAGTGAACTAATTTAGTTTTGGGGGTTTTTTTTGTTTTAAGTCTGCACCAGTACACAACACTAAATTAATAATTTTGTAATCTAAGCAGTCATAAGACCAGATCTTAAAATTATTCCGCACAGTTTCTTTAAACTAAGACATGGCCATTTTAGAGAATTGTGTGTGTATATCTAATCTAATGATTAGAAAATGTAGTATTTCTTGTATCTGCCTGCCCTGGTCGGCAGTCTGTGCCTTCTTTCATAGATCTGTATGCTGGGCATAGCTTCTGCTCATCCTGGTTTATCAAAAGAAATGGCAGGGGGGCATTCGCAGTGACCCCATATTGCTGATTTGTGCCCCAGTTAAGCAGCTCCTCCATGCCATGAAAATAAAAAAACAAATATCTATGTATCTTTTTGGCCACTTACAAATTCACACTTTAAGGATTATGGTACCTCCAAGTTAGCTGGAACCCCAGAGATGTTAGTGCTAAGATTCCGTGAAGCTTTTTATAATGATCTTTAATTTATGAATTTTATAGATTATTTTTTTTTTTTTTTAGAAACAAATTATGATAAATTGTCACTTTAAAAAGCTGACCCAAAGATTCATTTTGATGGCTTACCCAAAAATATCTGGCTCTGTAAAGTGCAATAGCCACATGCACAAGCATTGTACAAAATTCCAATTTTTCAACATAGCAACCAACATAATTTGCAGCGCTGTACAATGGGTAAAACAAGACAAACCGTTCTAACAAAACATGTTTGATATATGGAAAGTCTGTGAAGAGGCCGTGCCCAAACCAGTTTATGATCTAAAATGACCCTATTTGTCAAATTATCTATAGCAAAATGGCAAGCCCATATTTACAGCATCTGTCATGAAACTATGATAGGTACAGCATGATTTAAAATATATATATCTTTTTTTTTTGTATCACTCCTTTAGCTATAAACCCCTCAGTGCTAGCTGCTAGTGCCTTAAAGCATGGCCTGTATCATTTGTGTTCAGTGATGCTTAGTTTCCCGATTTTCTCCTAATCTGGCTAACAATGCATTTGCACCTTGTCTGTGACTGCATTAATAGATTACATTGCACTATTTAGTTAATTTAACACATCATCAGTCTGATTTATCCTGCATTGTAAAGTGGTTTTAACTTGTTAATAATCGTGTAGTGGATCGTCCCCTTTAAACCACTTGGCTAATCATATGTTTAATCAATATGTTTGGCAGAGTTACTACCATAATGTATTAAGATTTCACTACTGTTATTTGTAGAACGCAGTCCTATTTTATTGATGCACAAAAATCAATGCAAGTGTTTTTAACCCTTCTAGTGCTGTGGGTGTTTGCCCACTAAGCTGGTTGACCCTTCCAGCAACAAAATGGGTTAATAATTAATTATACCCCTATTTTGCAAATCACTGTGATCACCTCTTTCCTGCTTTGAAATGAAAGCACACAATGTGTTCTGTCCACCTCCCCTCCCCATCTCCAAAAAAAAAGAAACACTATTTCTACAAGCCAATATTTTTATGACCAATACGTTTTCCTTCTTAGCTGCTAGTAATTCTCCTGATTATGGTGATAAATGCTGCTGTTTTAACTGGTTCTAAAACAGATGTGTGCTTATAATGATGATTTTTAATTTTTTAATTTTTTTTTTTGGTATGATGACCATTCTCACCTCTCCAAATGTTAAAAAGACACTCCGGACACCAATACAACTTTATTGCATTTGATTAAGGAAAAGACTTTGTTAGCAAATGTATGCGAGCAGCTCAGCCAATGACAGCAGTGAAGGGTCTGAATTAGGAGGACGGGTCACCCAGGGAGACACATAGTAAGGGTATCAATGCCTGTTTGTTGTTTCCATGACTGTCTGCAACCAGTTTGTGCTGTTGCGACTGAGACTGTGTACATACATTTCATAATAACTTCGGCAGTAGATCTGTAGTGCAGCGTTCTACAAAACATTTATTTTTCTTTGTGCTCTAAAGACAGATTGCTATAAAGATTTGAGCCGATATCTATTAATATAGAAACATAGAATGTGACGGCAGATAAGAACCATTTGGCCCATCTAGTCTGCCCAATTTTCTAAATACTTTCATTAGTCTTATCTTATAGTTAGGATAGCCTTATGCCTATCCCACGCATGCTTAAACTCCTTTACTGTGCTAACCTCTACCACTTCAGCTGGAAGGCTATTCCATGCATCCACTACCCTCTCAGTAAAGTAATACTTCCTGAATTCATTGAAGTTGTATTGATGCTCCGAGTGTCCCTGCATTAATTATTTAACCCTATATAATGCCTTACTAGGCTTCGTGAAAATGAAATATTTATAGGTTCTAAAACTGAAATTTAAAAGATAAATTGAATTTTGAATTGTGAAATTTGGGTTAAAACAGACACGATTTCTTGTTTTGTTTTATTATTCCAACACCACTGTAATGGCCAAAAATATTTCCTCCTCCTCTCCATCCCCCAGTTTTATAGAAACAGCTCCTTAAGGCTCTAAAACATCATGCAAGTTGTAGTCCTACTATATCTCAGTTGGGGAGCTTCCTTTTTGTCCACCCTTAGCCACTAAGTTATTTTTCAATACAGATCATTGTTCAGTGCATGAACCCCTACTTCTGCTGTTGGTCTTTTTTGTTTATATACTGTGATAGGCAATCTTCTGCATTCCAGGTACAGTAAACTACAACTGCCCTTCAATGGCAGAACACTAAATACTCTACTCCCCTAATTTGCCTGTATATTCATGCATTGCAGGGGCGGGATGGCAAGGGACTCTGCTATTGCTAACAGCATAGCTGCCCTGTTGCCATTCATTTCAAACACTAAGTAAGCAGCGGTACATATTTTAGGAAGTCATTTCAGCTGTGAAAAGAAATATTGATGATTCCCATTGAACCCCCAATTTTATGTTTGAGGTTGTAACACTGGTGTAAAAGAATGGGCTTTCACAAAACAAAGATGCCTATGTGGATAGCAATGTTTATCAGTGTTATGTTCGAATGCAATTAAAGGAAAACGCACCCTACAGGTTTCCATGATTGTGTATACTGTACTAGTCCAGTGGGTCACTAAATGTCTTGGTGTAAACCAAGAGGAATAAAATTGTTCATCACAAATTAAGTTATGGTGCGAGGACGTCCCAGGCGTTGTCTTACCTGAATTCATTATTATGAATGCTTTAACTCCAAAGTTTGCAAGCAGGCACCCAATTGCTTTGCCACCGCTTTTTCACTCACTTTTCTCAATGGGGGGAGTTAGTGATAGACAAAGTATCAGCTGATGTTCTCAGCCTCGTACATTGATCTGAAATGCAGACTTTGGGGTTAAAAAGTTAATCAGTAGTTTAACTTCTTTCAGTAAGAGGACGCCCAGAACCTCTTTGCAACACAACTTCATTTCAACAAAGTTATGTTTTGTTTGTTTTAAAATATCTATTTCTTGTAGCCCAGACAACAGTAGCCTTAATAATAAGTGTTCTGTGGTTGGTGTTTTAGTACCAGAGAAAATATATTTTTTATGATGCCTATATTTTTTGCTGTCGTTCCTCAATGGCCGTTCCTTATATTAAAACAATATTCCCAACTTGATATTTGCATCCAAATAAGCTATAGTCAATTCTGCCAAAAGTACCATGTGATATTATGACCATCCGTCATGTTTTTTAATTTTATTTTTGTATAGCTGCTCGGAGACCATTGTGAAGACTGTTTGTGCATGTACTTTATATCTTGTGTGTGTGTGTCGTTTGTATGAATTCTGAGTGCAGATCCAACTCAAATGGATCAAAATGATTTTCAAAATGGATTTTATGAAAAAGTGCCCAAAATAGGAACATCAAAGTCCATGAACTTAAAGTAACTGTAACCCAAAATCAGTTGTGACATTTTATTACTAGGATATAGGATGCTGTTACTGAAAGATTAAATAAAGCATCTCAAAAAGTCCACGCAAATGTAGCAAATAAGTACTTTGCGATGCAATTTATATATATGTGAGAACGTGAGTTGGTATGGTGGATAACCGCACATCGGGATTTGATTGCTTAGCAACCGAATGGACTAGCGTATACACATACTGGCTAAATAATATCTACGTGAGCAACCTAGCAATACAAAAAGTGAGTGCCTTACAAAAATAAGAGAAGTTGACAATGTGGATGAAAATAGTGTTGATTAACGAAGCCAGAGATCAAAGTAATTTTTGCCCGTATTGTCTTTGAGCTTTTGACATCCTGTAACGAAATATCACTTGGTTATCATGAACCTGGACCCTTACTCTATTGGTGAGTTTTCCTTATTTTATATCCAAAATAGTGTGTTGTATTGCATTGTTAGTCTATCTTTATAAGTCTGTCTAAAGTCCAAAACATTGTTAGTTTTTGACCTTCCCCCCCCCATTAAATCTCATTAAACCTCAGAGTGCAATCCTTTGCTCGTCTGTGTATATAGATGGATGTATATGTGATTGTATCTACACACACTGTACTGTGGGTGATGACTTATTCCCTGTAATTCATGGTTTGATAGATGCCGTGCAGTATGGGAACCCTTAATCTTATGGCAGCATTGGGACATATATGTTCTGGTCTGCCAGAGATTCATGGGGTTACATTTTCAGCCCTCCCCCAATAATGATATGGTGAAAGAGGAGCTGAGGAGACAGAACCGTGAGAGTCTATCTCCCTAGATACCTAGCTCCTCTGCTACTATGGACAGAGAACTGAATGAAAATGGCAGCTGCTGCTTAAGAATTTAACTTCCACCAATTTAGAGTAAATAACAAAATTTAAAAGATATAGAGGAACCTGGTATTTGGGTACAATAATGCTATCGCTGGGTTTTAAAGACTTATTTTGATGTATCCAGAAACCCTCAATGGCATAATTTTCACATAGTTGTAGGTTCCCTGTTCAATAACCTATTTATAGAATAATCCAGAAATATATTTATAAAAAAGGAATATTTCATGCGGTTTCTGCTTTTATTGGGGGGTTTGTTGGTCTGAAACCCAATGCTTCATTGAAGTGCTGTAATCCGAGGCTGCCCTGATGATACAAAATGGTGTATATTTATTTATTTTTTTTGTTTCCATTTTATTTAACAGTTTAATTAGTGAGGTAATACCAATATGATGATAAAGATTTAGTTTGTGTCGAAAGCAAGTGGGAAAAGATTGGCAAATGCAGACACTTTATAATTAGAACATTCCAGGAAGTAGATTGGCAAAAAACGTTTTATTAATTTTGGCAGCGCTAACAGAATAAATATTACTGTAAAGCACCTTGGGTAATGTTTTTAAGCATACATCTTATTGGATCTTATTGTACCTAATTTATTTGATTGCATCCCCTTAAGCCCAGTCATTCATGGAAATTTGCAGGCCAGTCATGAAAACATTTCCTAGAACTTGTATAGGGGAACATAGTGTGTTTAACGTTAAAACCTCCAAATCGAGTTGTACAGTGTCTAGAATCTATTCTAAATATTTACCATGTCTGTTTGTGTTTGTGTCCTTGAATGGCACCCTAGAACAGCCTTCGTTAAGGCTGTTATGAAAAGGAAAAAAAACAAGTCCTCATAGCAGCAAGTCCTGATCCAGAAGAGGTCAATGGCATCTAGAAGGCACTGCAAGGGATGTCTGATTGCCCAGCAAGCCTAAATAATCTTTGACCATAGCTTCTCAATGCAAGCTGTGATCACACAATACTTTTTAACTCTGTACAAATATTAAGCAAGATAATGAGGAGATTAAACATCCTTATTATATCTCCAGCAGAAATGTAAAGCTTTTGAAAATATTTAGACTAAAACCTGTATTCCTAGTACTATAACTAACTACTACAATAAGTGGTAGTGTTAATGGTATTCAAAGAGGTTGTAGTGATCTTTTAAAGGAACACGGAAGGCACCTTAACAACTTCATCTTACTGAAGTTGTTATAGTGCATTCAGTGCTGGCCACCCTGTGCTACACCCCCCAAACCCAATATTAAAGTAAAAATAAAGATTGGAAGCTTCCCACCTCTTATACCATGAGGTCACCTGCGCAGTGCCATCATGGTCAGCCATAGAGAATCATGGAATTGCGGCATATGCTACGCGTGTGTCTACATTTCCCCATGCTCTGTGAAGAGCATTGGATTAGCCCATCATTGTAAGCGCACACATCAGGAAGACTCTGAGGAGGAGTGAGTAATTAGTGTTGTGTTTTTGTTTGTTTTTTGGAACACACGGGGAGGGGGGGGACCTAAATGACAATGGCCATCAAGACTGTAGCGTTAGGAATACAGATTTTTCAAAAGAAGACGTACCCTTCTTCTCTGTATTACATAGGGCAAACCTATATCCCTGTTCCAATAGAAGTCTTACCGAAAGCTTTTGTGTGTGATTTGAGTTTAAGGATCCTGTATTGCCTTGAAAGAACGAATGAATGCATAGTCGCACTTTATCGCATTGTTATACGAGCAATATATATTTATATAGAGTTTCTTCCAAAATGGAAATAAAAATGTTTATTTTGTTCCTTATTTTTTGAGGTGAACACCCTGATCTTAAAAACTTATATTGTTATATAGTGGATTGTTTTCTTGTCAAAATCAGGATCTAAATAGGAATTACTAGATGCCATTCTGCCAAAACTAAAGTGCTATTCACATTGTGACGGAAGGTTTTTTTTTATTTTTAAATTTTATTTGGGGAATATTAATTTTCTTGTAGGGGTGAAGCTATTGAGGACTAAGATCCCCCATGAAGCTCTGCAGCTAATCGCTATGCTGTGTCTGCCAGTAAAGCCTTTATGTGCTAATAGTCTAAATTCTATATGGTATTAATGGCTGTAGTGTCCCATTAAAAAGTACAGACTAAAACTTTTGTGCATCTTTTTTTTTTTTGGGGGAGGGAAGAGATTTGGTTTTTGTTACGGTGGGAGGGGGCTTGCATGCTCAGTTTTGTAATGTTTTGCAGCATGAAATTGCTTATCAAAATCTAGTGTTTATTCTCCAACAGCGAATTGTAGTGATTTGATTACCAAATTTCTTTCTTCCCCATGTATTCAGTCTTAAAATACTTGCATCTTGTTGGTACGTCTCACCCCCCTTCCTATCCTGATCTCCTAACCTGCATTGTTTTATGATAACACAGTTTACTGGAAACAAGTGCAGAATATTCCTGCCACCATAACCACTGTAGCGGGCTGTAGTAGTTATGATGCTTGGAGTAAGCCATTAACTGTTCGTTTACTCGCTATTTTGCAATTTGGTTTTCACTTCCCTATAATTCGATGTTTAATAAATGGTCAGCTCATGTCATCAGGAACCACAGCAAAGGTTTCTGTTGGTGGTTGTAGTTCCTCTGACAGCTTTGGTCAGTAAAAGTCAGGTAACTGAGCTGCAACTTGCAAGGGTTTATTTCTTTGAAAATGTCCATTGAACGTTGTTGGCCCATCCTTTTATCTGGGATGTGCTAAAAGCCTGGGGATTCATCCTAAATGCAGCATCTTCAAATGTGACTATCTTTTTATGTTTCATAGTTGGTTGCTAGTGCACATTTTTTTTTAATGTATCTACTATGCAATGCATTAACAAAAACAAATGTCAATCCCAACCCGGAGTGCCCCCGTAAGGATGAGACCAATAGAATGTTAGGCTGTTTAAGATTTCATTGTAAAATGTTATTTTTAATTATAGACATGGCATGTTAAAAATGTCACACGTTGAATAAACCTTAAATCCACACATTCCAATAATATGTTCAATAAAACCCTGCTGTATAACTTTATTGAATTATCTGTCTCCTAAATGGTAATAGTAAAAAAAGATAACTTGATCCAATCAATTAACTCTGCTTACTGCACTCACAGTATCGCCATACGGGTTGAGCGGAGCCTTGTGTAGTCCATAAAGAGAGTTTGATTGAGTTCGGTACAGGGGACATATTTGCAATAAAAAGATCTTATTATTCGCTAGGTGCTCTACTGACTAATTGAATTGTAGAATTAAGGCTACAATAGACCATTTAGATTAATTCTCAAATTCTGCTGCTGACAGTTGGCCAATTTTAGCCTACATTTTGCAATTCACTTTTCATTTCATTCAAATTTGGTATGAAATTCATGAACGCCAGAGTCTATATTTTCTTAGCAAAGTTTGTAATAAAATCTGGCAGGGGGCAATTGATTTCCATTGTTTTAAAACGGTAAACTTCAGACTGTAACTCACCCGAGAAATACATTCAATTATAAAAGTTCATGTTTTCTCACTGGATTTTAATTTGTTGTGTTTATTTCGATTAAACGGCCATAAACGAAAATGAGTTTATACATTTTATTGATGATCATTGTTTCACTATTTCATATTCAATGTGTCAGGTGATTTTTTTTTTTTATTATTATTTTTTTTCTCCTTCACATTTCATAAAGTAGTAGTTTTGGCTTATCTTCACAGCGGAACCTCCAATTGTAGCTCTGGTTCACAATCCCAATTTGATGTATTGTTTTAAACTATAATTATTGAATAATGTTTGTTTTTTCTTTACGCATTATATTCCTGAAAATATTCTTCACATCGTTCCTCCTACCCTGTCACATTTCAGAATTTTGATAAATTTTGTTTTACGTTCTCATTCTTCTAATGCTCCATCCATACGAGCTCTGACAGTTGCACTCAAACTATTTCTGGGCAGTTGAAACCTGAAGTTGAAGATGTCAAATATTGTCAAACTATTTATTCCATTGAATATGTATGTTGTTTTCTTTTTATGAAATGTGTAGTACCGAATTTGTATAAATGGATCATATTCACAAACATTTCAATTTTTGTAATGCCGAATGTTTGCAAAATGTTTTGTTGTTGCTCTGTTTTGTTTTATCATTTATTTTACTTTAAAATGTACTGCTTTAAATAAGAGCACAACATATCATCTATGAATTGTGCTAGCAAAAAGCACTGCAAATGTATATATTTTAATTTAAAACTCTTTAAACGTTCGGTCCTTTCCCCAGCTGTCAAACAATTCTTTGGGCATTTTGTCATCATAGACAGCTATGCAGAAGGCTTGAGTGACGATGGCAGGAGAACCCTCCTAAAGGCAATTCTTCTGCACTCTGTTATATTCCCCAAGCAAGCGTTAGAAGTATTTGTGACAGAGTGAGTTTGCAGTAAGACCAACATGTCACCGCCATCTGGCCGGATTGCCTTATTTGGGATACTGTTCCCAAGCATTGCCAATCATTGTGCAAAGAGGGGGGTGGGAGGGGAGTGATTTATACATTTGTTTCTCAGAACTGTTATATACTTATTGAACCTGGCATTAGAGGTTCACTTTAATGTTTTAGTTCTCCACTGTGAATGACTTATTACACTCCTGGGCTTAATTCACTAATCACCAAACTGTAGTGGATTGAAAGCTACATTTAAAAAAAAATAAAAAATTAATAGCTAAGCTGCGACTAAAAATTGATAATTTTTCCAAAATTGTCTATTTTTGCCCAATTGTTGTAATTACATTTTCAGTTCACTACAATTCAGTGTTTAGAGAATAAACAACTCCATGTTAGTTTCTAATGGAAAAGGATGCTTCTTTACGATTACTCCTCCCTGGGGAGAGGGGATGGGGCTCGGCCTCACAGAACAATTGTTGGCTCAAAGCATTGCCAAGGTATTTCCATACCAGAGGTTTAAACGTGGCATTACTGTAAATAATAGTAAGTTAAAGAGGTTTAATAAATGTATGTCACACTATCTTTGTCCGATACAAAAACTAAGAATTGAACCCATATATTGCTTGAAGACTCCCTTTATAATTACTGTTACATGCTGGAATGAAAAATGTCATCAATGTACCATACTTTCCGATGCCCAAAACTCAGTCTGGTTGCTTTTCCCTGGATGTTTTCTATGCCGTTTTAACAATGGAACACTGTATTTGTTGGACAAATAGTGCATTACATGTAGCAGAATCTAATTTTATTATGTAAAGGTCTAAATTTTCGCTTTTGATTGGAATATTGTAACATGATATGGAATTATGAAGGAGTGCAACTTTAATAAAGTCACTTTTTATTTCATTGCTTCTTATGAATGTTTAATTAGTTTAACTTTGGTTTGCAGCCCTGCTCTGTCAGTGTGAAAAACAGAATGAAGTGTTAAAATTAACAAACCAATGGTTTAAAAAAATAAAACCTCAGCAATACAAGGGTTAACTTCTGTTGTGGCTGGCCAACACTTGCTAGCCAGCCACCACCTGAAGTAAAAATGTCTTATGGGACTCAATAGGTATAACCTCCCTTATGCCCCCACCCACAATGCAGGTGGTGAAGGCCTGTTTGATAAACAGTGAGTAGCCATTCCAGTGGCTCAATATCCCCAAACTCCTGACCCACCCCTTTATATATAAAAAGCCCTACCTAAACCCTCACCCTAACAATAGTTTATTGGAATACCTGAAAAAAATAATTACCTTTTTTCTTAAATCTTTAATTCTTCAGTCCTACAAATTGCCAAAGAAAAAGCTTTTTGTATCCAGACGCTGATACAATTTTTTTGAAAAGCCACAAACTTAAAAAATAGAGCCCATACCTCGAAATAAAATCCCTGTGATTCCGTAAACACTGGGCGTTGTAAAGCCTTTACCACAAGTCAAAAGACTTGCAAGGGAATAAGAGCTCATATTTAGGTTTTGTTGTCAGTCGCATTTACAACCTGCTGTACATTTGTGTTCTATATTGTCCTGTACCGTAAGCAGAACGCAAATTTGAATTTCTAGAAATTCAGCCTTCTACAAATGCCACAAAAATGTAATTTATTTATTTTCCAATATGGAGGGATATTGCCCAAATAAACAGTACAGCTACACAAACCATCTATACCAAGCATGTCCAACTCAAACTAGCAAGGGCCAAATAAGCAAGGTTTAAGTTTATGTGGGTCGCATAAAAAACAGACTTAAATTTTCATAGAAACGTAGGTTTGTTTTGAAAAGTACAGTATACAAAAATAAAAACCGCATTCCCTTCTACTAAACCCCGGCCCTTGTTTAAAAAAAACAAAAACAAAAAAAACATTAGCCAACAAGCAGACTCCACTAACATTGCCGCTGCCAGTATACAACTCTGGAGTCTTGCCTCTAGTATACCCCCAATGGTGCCGTCAGCACCCTGTGCCAAAGTGGATCCTCCCACTACTCCTCGAAACCCTGTGACTGTGGAGCATGTTGACTTCACGTTAGAATGTGACGTGGCGTTGCATGCCACCATGCCCCTCCAGGTCCTCCACTGTCCAACCACAGCCATCACAACACTGACAAACACACACACACTCATAATTTTATTTAATTTATTGTTCCCTACCTTTGGGAGCTTGTGTGGGGCCTGGGGTCCAGTGGGGATCTTCTCTTGGGAGCTCAGTCTTCCTGCTCTCTCACGCGCGCAGTTTAGTGATGCCGGAATTATGTCATATTCCGTTATCACTACAGAGGAAGCAGGTAGACTGAGCTCCCTCGCTGCCACCAGCGACCTCTCCTCACCGGCTGGTACCGGGTAAATTTTAGCAGAGTAGGCACCTGCAATGTGAGGAGAGCAGGTGCCTACTCTGCCTTAGTAAGCATGGCAAACTCGCGGCTCGCTGGGCTGCAAAAATAGTCATTGTGGGCCACGAGTTTGACATGCTTTATCTATACTATCCAGGACTCTTACACTCTGATAATCCCTTGAAGTTTGACCTACAACAGTTGCTGTATAGTAGTTATGAAGGTCTATGAGCACAAAGTAGAGGCAAGGGTCTATATGGGAACCTAACAGACATTTGATTCTCTTCAAGTTGAAAATGTGATTTGCCTACTTTTCTCCTTAGACAAGTGCTAGTTTGTTTTGTACCGTTTTTTAAAACAAAACACGCCTACATGCACTGGGACTAAAGGGGTTAAATGCTGGATATAACCAGAATCAGAGGTGACCCTGAGAATCCATCATGCTCTCAGGGCAGCAATCGTTCTATTTTAATTTTACGCAAGATAAGCTAAATCTCATACTAGTAAGGATTAAAGATACAAAAATGTGTCACACAGAAGCTTCTATTTGATGCTGGCATTAACATTTTTTTATTTTACGATGGGGAAAGAAGACATTTTTATAGTACTATATGCATAGCTGAGAAACAGATTTAAAAATACCCACCATGGAAGAAGGATAGATATAGAAACTCTGTCTACATGTTGTCTTATGGAAAGTATTTGTCCTAAATCTGTTGGGTGGGAAACTTCAGAAGCAGACAGGAATTTATATACAATGGGCTCTATTTCTCGTTTTTCTCATAAAATGTGGTAAATGTGTCCATTCCCAGGGAATGATGCATTTCTTTTGATATGTGTTATTGTAGACCGGGTTATACCAGCTCTTGATTGGATCAAACATTCAGTCTTACTTTGTTACATAATTCTCACTGAGTCTTTGATTTAAAGAGTCTATGGCTGCCTGAATCATGAACATCTGGCATATTTGTTCATATCACAGCATTCACTGAATTATTAGGATCAGTATTACTACTACAAACAGAAGCCACTTATAGGGAACAGTTTTAAATTGGGGTTCTGATGTTGCTCACCCCTACAGATATGCAATCTGTTCTATTTACCTTCTTCCTTATGTGGTTGGGTGACCTGATGTCCCTGTTCAGTTAAGGATACAGCCCCTGGAGCTGACATCCAGAAATGTCTTTTCCCCCCCAACTAAATAAGGCGTATTTATATTATTCATGTAAATAGTGTAGATTAAACAATAGCATACCTTAATAAATTTGGGTATAGATCTAAAAGACCTTTTTAAAAAGCATGTGTATGTAACTTATTTATAAAATATGGATTGTGTTACTTGGGGTGAATGCCTCTACTTCCTACTCCCATTAAATTAACAGAGCACGGTCCATCCTTGGGGGTATTTTTGGTACCATTGACTCCTATGTTTAAAAATCTAGAGCCTTGCCATGGATTGTGCAGGTGCTAATACATTTTGCTGATTATCACAGAATACAAAAACTAGGGTTAAACATTTGGAAGTTTTAGAAATTTGTGCTTATGTATTAATTTGAGCCTTATTTGGAAAATCAAAGGACTTGACAATGGTGTGGTATCTAGAAACAAATGTATTTAATGGGTTTACACAAATAAATATCTGCCCCATGAAATTATGGAATATTTGAAAGTTCACCTCTAGCAATGAAAGCGGCAGTGCCAGGCTGTGGTCTATGTGGTAATGTGATGACGTCACTCCAATGGTCATCTAGACCCCTTAGGAACAAGTCTTTGGTCCAGAACAGCACTCAGGACCAGGTTTCCTGTTCTCTCTGCTCAACTTTTCTGCAAGTTCAAACGGGTCTTGGGTGATATTCTATAAAAAGAAAGAGAAATGTAGATAAAGATTTTAAAAGTTTAAGTTTGTTCACTGAATCGGGGATTTGTGTCATTAAAAACAACATGCAAATTTGCATGTAACAACAAGATCTAAGGATCACGGTGGTTCACGCCAAGTAATGCAAGTATATACTGATCAGGAATTACTGTTTCCCATGGACTCCCAGGTAGATACAATATGCACAAACAAACAAAAGCGATAAACAGCTTAATAATATATGTGCTGTTTATTTTATTTCTTTAGCACCCTGCACTATTTGGATGTCATTTCATTCTGTTAAGGTTCCTATTCTTATTCTGCTGAAGAAAAATGGATTTATGGTAAATTCCCTCTAATACTTGTGTTTGTGAATGCAAGTTTATGCACACAAGTTTTGGTGTTTTTTTGCGGGTGCTACACCATTATCGCTTTCATTTCATATTTTATTTAGGATTTTGCGGTATATCCCTTAAATGTAAATGTGTAAATTTGCATGTAAGGCATGTATTGATGTCAGGTGTTCTGTGCAGGCTCTATTTGGCTATATAGTCTGATATGGTTCTTGACGGACCATGACAGCGTGTGTGTACCACACTGCTCTATCGCACTGTAACGATTACCATTGTATTAACTTTAACATGCTGCATTAACATTTGGCTATTTTTACCTCATCGTCACCTTGCCGCAATATCACATCCTGCTTTCATGGACACCATTAGATTGTTAGTTCTTATTTCATATAAGGAAGGCTCATGGAAAGAAACCGTTTTAAATATCATCTTTAGCATGTCGGCTTAAACCAGAAGCATTGAGGACACCGACAGAGCCAAGTAAATATCAAACAACCTACCATAACAACTTCTGTGTGCTTCAGTGGTTATGGTTGTTAGTTTCCCTTTAAGATCCTAAAACAGCAGTGTTTATAGTCTCTGGATAACAGTGCAATGGCGCCACCATGCTGTCAGATATAGTAGTGTTATATCATACTATTCCAACCTTTTGTTTGTCATAATTGAATAGAGAAAAATATATAGACCAGGTGCAAAAGTTCAAGGTAGCTTAGCTTTTCAGGCATATATATGTAATAAAAAATTGTTCAATATTCTTGGAAAAGTAACCTGTGGGGACTTTAATGCTTGAACTCTGTGGCAATTCAATCAGCCAAAAGGATATTTGTTTTATAAGATTTGCCATTTTCCACCTCAGCTCCAGCTAGTGGCAAAACTAGAGAAGAGAAGGACCTGGTGCAAGAATTTTTTGGGCCCTACTCTATCACAATGGTGACCAAAAGGTAGATTCCCATCTGTCATACGCATATCCTTGCAGGGTTGTATTTAGCACGGAGCAGTGTTTGTGTGGTGAATGCAAGCATGTTTTTGTATAGAGTATGTGTGTGTGAATGTAGGAGCTTGTGTTTAGTTTAGTGTGTTTTTATGTACTGTAGCCAGTTTTAAGCAGTGGGTTACTTGTGTGTAGTGTTTGCCTTTGAATGCTGAGATATTTGCACATATACATACACACACACTGACACAAATATAAACACACACACACCCATGACAACACACATGCAGATACATAGACACACAAACAGATACCCAGACAACGAGATACACATATTGATACGCATACAGACAGATATATACAGACACAAGTTACACATACAAACATGCATGTAAAGAAATTACATTTTAAGCCACCCTCCCGTCTCCTACCTTTTGGGTGCAGGAGGGTGGTTTCCCTGGAGTCCAGTAGGCTGCC